GGTGGCGGCGCGCCCCCCGCACCTGCTGTGGCCGGGCATGCGCCTTCGACCCTCGGTGTCCTGTCTTCCTCCAATCGCTTGTTCACCGTTCTTGGATTTCAAAGCCTGGATTGAAGTCTAGAGGCCTCCGTGGTTCCATCCTGACATCAGCCCCAGTCCACCTCCTGAGCTGCCCACATGAGGTTGAAAGGCTCGAATATCCCAGGAGGAATAATAGCTATGATTTATTGAGCGCTTACTGCGTGTCTGGCCCTATAATAAGAGCTTCACGTGCATTATTTCAGTGAATCCTCACGACCACCCTATAAGGCAGTGGTTATAATTATCCTCGTTTTAAGGATAAAGAAATGAGACGCTTGGGGAGGCTTAATTTGCTAAGGGTCACAAAACTACTAAGTCATGCTGCTAAGATAGGAACTCAGAAAATCGACTTGAAAGGCTACATCCCCCAAGGGCTGACCCGGTACTCTCCTCTCCCAGCTCAGGCTGAGGACATCCACCCAAGCTCCTGGAGTCAAAGGCACAGCTGCACCTGTCCCACCCCATGCCTTCCTGACCAAGCGAAAATGAACCTCCCCCTACCACATGATCTTTTTTGGGTTGTCAGTTTCCAAAACGTTGCAGGGGAACAGAGCTAGTGTTGCCTAGGTGGACACCCCACACTGGGGCAGGGAGGCGTCGAATTCTATTCAGAGATCCTGGGAGAGGGGCCTGGTGGCTCCAGTTCCACCCCCATCAGCAAGCACTGGTGACAGTGCATGCCCTAATTGTGGGGACATTTATATCCAGAATGTAGGCTAGCTGCCTCCCGATTTTCACCAGAGCAACCGAGCTCCAACGCCACCCTCCCCCATTGCTCTCCTTTCCTGTCCCGTTTGAAAGCGTCTGCATTCCTCTACCCTTTATGTGGAGGTGTAATCCTGGTGACCTCAGCATCAACCCGTGCCCATCCAGCCTGAAAGGACACACTCAGTGCTCTGTATTTCAAAGAGTTATGGTCTTATTCAATCTCAGTATCCTTGAACCACACAATGGTCTCTCTCCCACCTGATAATTTCCAGGGTGAAACACTTTTTTTTTTTTTTGGAGAGGTTTTCGCTACAGGGCGTGTGCGCTTGCCAGACAGACAGAGAGAGACAGAGAGACAGAAAGCGAGAAATCACCCCCCAGGGGGGATGGTCACGCCACAATCCCTTCTCCTCCATTCTCCTCTCGGGATCTTGGGCATGCATGCAAACGTGCCCGGCGTGAGTTTTAAGCCACCGGGTCCAGGATGCGAACTGTGGTCGACTACGTGGGAGTCCAGCGACATAGCCATTACGCTAACTGCTGGTTCCCCAGGTCAAACACTTTGAAGATGTTTTCCAACAGGTGCCAGAGAAGCAGCCTCTGATGGCCCCTCTAGCTATTTTTTTTTTTTTTTGAGAGGCTTTTGCCATAGGGCACATGCGCTTGCCAGACAGACAGAGAGAGACAGAGAGACAGAAAGCGAGAAATCACCCCCCAGGGGGGATGGCCACGCCGCAATCTCTTCTCCTTCATTCTCCTCTCGGGATCTTGGGCATGCACATACACGCGCCCAGCGTGAGTTTTAAGCCACTGGGTCCGGGACGCGAACCGTGGTCGACTCCATGGGAGTCCAGTGACATAGCCATTACACTGACTGCTGGTCCCCACCTCTAGCTATTCTTTACAACTTCCTCTCCAAAAGGCTGCTTCTAATTGAATGCAGTCTGTCCTCACCCTTCAGGACTTTGACTGCTGCTTGATAAACACACGTAAATCCCAGGTGGGCCTTCTCCCACCATCTCGGAGGTGGATCTTGAGTCACGTTTCATATGTGGGAGCCAGATCCCACCAATGACTGCCCAAAACCTTGCTCGGGCTGCACGCCATGGCCCTTTCCCCTCAGACTCTGCCTGAGGAAGGAGGACACCACCCTGCCCACCCATCACAAGTGCATGAACTACGGGAAAACCTCTTTCCTCCTGCCCTCTAACAACTCATGTGATCCCTTTCCCTCATCTCCAAGCGCCAAAACCACACTGACCTCACCCTGGCACTTTCCCCTCTCTCACTTGAGCACACGTTCAGGAAACAGAGTAATAACTGGGTGTGGCACAGTAATGAAGATCTGGAAATGAATTCTCCATCTCAAACCCAGCCCTCAACTTGGCCTTGATTTCAGAAGGCTTGGTATGGAAAGAACTTAGTCCACTCCAAACAGATTTGTTAGATTTTTAATAAGAACATGGAAATCCCAATCAGCCCTTCAACAAAATTAAAATACAGAAAGTGAAATTAAAAGTATTCTACAGTAAATGACTTTTATTTAAAAAAAAAAAAAAGTAACTGTGAACATATAAACAAGCCTGCAGGGCACTACAGTACAGCTGGAAAGAGATACATTTTGCAATGTACCGATGGGCCAATGAATTCCATTATTTTCAAATAAATTCTTAATAAAACTCCACCGAGTTGGAAAGTTTTGCTGAAAATATTTCTGGACAAAAAACCCAAAAAACAAAAAACCTTGTGTTGGAAATCAAACTTTCCTTCGCATTTGGAAAGGTAAGAGGAGTCCCAAGGGAACGCTGGTAATAGGTGAAAAGGTTCCTGGAGTCACCATGTGTGTACTCAGGGAACACTACGCAGCTTAGACACGACAAAGGTCTTTCTCAGATGCCTGTTCCCTCAAGGTGAGACTGAGATGGGCAGGGCGAACAACTAAGAGAATCCTAAAAAGCCAATTCTTTTAAATTCTGCTTTGGCTGATTTTGTGCTATGATGGGCAGTTGATTTCTAAAAATCATACTTCTTCAAAGAGTTTTATCGAAAGGAAGACTAAATGTAATGTGCCTTTCCTCATAGTCCAGGAAAACAACTGTGGTATTTCAAAAATTCTAAAAATATCTACTTTCATGAAATAGTAACTATTTCACTACAAACCTATTTTTCACTAAATACACACATTTCCTAATCCTGGAGCCTCCTGGGAAGAGCAGTGGGTTCTCCCTGGGTCCTGTAAGACTCCAGTGCTCACGGGAGAGTGTGGAGAATGGCTCCACCCCGTCTCCTGGGATGGCCATATCAGAGGTCACGTGTAGACACTGTCAGGCTTTCGCCAGGCGTGTTTAAGCAATTACGCCCTACTTGTACCAGTTATGTGATTCCCCCTACCTCCAAACACATTCCCACGTAACTAGGCACGAGAGGAAAGGAAAAGGTGTGCCCACAATCCTGGTTTCCACGAATCTCAAATGAGGAGAATGTGCAGGAAAGCCCAGCGGTGTTCAGGCAATTCGGATTCCCAAAAGGCCACGAGATGGGGGTGTGGCACCCTCGGCTTGGAGTCTGAAACTGTGTGTGAACAGTGCGACTTTCCTGTGTCAACCTTCAGTGTTGAGGCAGCGTAGAAAAGAGTGGCTGGAGAGTTTGTAATACTGACCACACTGGCTCCGGCTGAAGGGCCTCTGCTCCAGCAGGGGACCCTGCCATTCCCTGTAAGTGTTGTGAATGAAAGACCTGCTTCACAGGAGAGGTTGGAATTTCTCCATGCCTAAGACCTTGCCAGTTTGGATTCATGAGCCTTGAGGGTGCCAACAGCATCTTTCACTGCATGGTAAATGATGTTCTTCACCTGGGGAGAGGAAGCAGCACAGTCAGTTCATGGCAGCCCCACACTGTGTTCTGCAGACATTGTATGTTCCACCCTGTCTAGAAACCAAATGGTCAGAGAGGAAGTCCCCCAAATTGACTGTGTGCTTCCCAATCAACCCCCAAGATGACTTATAAGTCACACAGGATATGAGGTCTATAGTCAACAAAGGACGACAGAATCATCTGAAGGGCTACAGAATCACCATCATTCTGTGTGCTCACTACACGTCAGGCACTGTTGCTAAACTCTAATCCCTGCCATAATCCTGTGAGGCAGGTTCTATTGTTATCCATAATTTACAAATGAGAAACTGAGGCAAACAAGGTTCTACGGTTAAGAACCTTGCTGAAGGTCCTACAGCCAGTAAGAATGCTCTAAAACAGTGGGAGGCAGAATTACGGAATATTTTCCCCTTTGTGTTTGTATATTCTAATTTGTCTAAAGAACATATAGTATGCATGGAATAGGAAGATATAATAAAAGTTAATAAGGTGAAGAGCTTGTTAAAATAAAGCATACAGACTAGAGACAGTTTTTAGAACGGTCTGATATGAAGATTATGACTGTTTCTGGGAAGGAAACA